CTCGGTCAGGACCTCCCGGCGGTGGGTGCCCGGCCGCCGCAGAGGCGGGGTTTGACATCACGTTAAATACGTCCCTTAAGCTCCAGTTTCCAACCGCTGGGGCATGGCTGGACTGAGGCAGCGGGAGTTTATCTAGGGCAAGGCGGAGGGCTGGCAGCACAGGAATGTCGGCAGAGGAGGGAAAGCCGCCGCGAGAAGCACCATGTCTCTGTAAGTAGATTTTTTTTACCCATTGTTTTCCCTGCAGCCCAAGCAACGGTGTGGGAACCGTGCAGAAGGGAAGGACATCCAGCTAGCACAGATATTTTTCCTAGACTATTTTCTTCCTTCTCCATATTTTAGAGGTTTTAAAGTTTTCCAAGTTCCAATAGTTGCGCCTGCGGTTGCACAGAGCGGTCAGCCAGTTTCGAGAAGTAACCGTGATGAGAACGCGGAGCCAACAGCTCGTTCCTGTACCTGGCTACACGCAATTTTCACTACTTTAAGTGCTGCCGGTGGGGTGAGCAGTCCAACTCCTCCTTTGTAGCTGTTTCAAAGTGAAACTTTTACCCGGCGTGCGTTTCACACGCTGCCTGTCAGCTAGTCTGGAGGTGAAGAGAGATGACTGAATGAATGGATTTCAAAGCCAGAGGGATGGTGGGTCTTCTCACGCGATCCCTCCGGCAGATAAATTTAGCTACATGAACCACCTAAGCTAATCCATCTACTACCTGCTGCAGATCCACACAAGTTTTTTGTTTTTTTTTTTTCCCCAGGGAGCTGGACTGTGTAACTTTCCCACTGTGCGGAGGAATTAAGTCTGAAAGCCAGGAAAGATGCAAAAATCCATTTTCTGCACTTTGGTAGTTAGCGTGTGAGGAGATGAGACACAGTCTTTTCCGAGCACCATCCTGTTCAACAGCAAAAGCCATGTGAACAAATCCTTACTTGGAAGCTTCCTTGCCTTATAATTGATTCCAAAATATAACGGGGTACTCACCCCCCCCACACCCCAAGCAATTAAAGGCATTGGAATCTCGTAGTATAGCCTTTCTAGCCAGTGAGTCAAAAAAAACCCACTAGAAGTTTAACTCAGCTGAGTGTAGGAGGATTTTCTAACTCGTTTCCTTCAGCTCCTGCTTTCCAATACGGTGCCAGGAGAGCGGGTGGACACACAGAAGTGTTAGTAACGTCAAGGTGTGATCATAGACAGAGGCAACAGCGGGGTCCCAGGGGCACAGAAATAGCTCGAGGCTGTTTCCTGCAGATGTTCCTGCAGATCCAGATGTGCAAGGAGGGCTGAGCCGCAGTGCCAGTGGCAGGACCGACAGCTCAGGCTGGCGGCTGGTAACCAGAGGTGGTCTTCTCAAAGCAACAACTCGTCACTTCTGTTATTTTGCGATTTCTTTCCTTTTCCTTGACTCAGGAGGTTCGTGAGTGTTTTGAACCTAAGGTATCCGGTGCTCCTTTCTAAAATGTGTCTCCCAGAGGAGACAGTGGGTGCTCTGCTAACAACCCTGACTAATATCAGATCAAAACTTGAATATTTCCTCTAAAAGCCATCGTTACCTTGGTCAGACCCTCTCTGCCCCAGCAAACGGCTGTTGGGAGACGAGTCTAAGCTTTGGGAATTGTGTCCTTGAGTAACTCTAACGATAAATTATCCTCAGCGTAGACCTCATAAACCTTTTAGGAGAGCACTGCAATTATAAACAAACTGCCATACAGGACGTTTGAAGCCTGCATTTTAGAACAATTTGGGGCTTGCAGATCACTGGGGATGCAGATGGAAGCTGGTGGATGGCTGAACGCCCGCACGGGGCCAGCCGAGCTGGGGCTGACCTGTGTTCGATCCCAGCCCCAGCCCTGCCTCAACCGGACCCAGATGCTCCAGAGACGGATGCACCGTGTCCTGCAGCGGGCCATCGCTGCGCCCAGCGGGGTCTTCCCTTCCCAGCCCCCCCTCATGCTGGAGCTTGGCTGTGTGCCTGGATTAATCCTGCACATCATTTAACGCCCTGTTTTGCCCATATGTGAATGGTGACAGAAATCAGACGGTTAGAGACTCTTTAGAGCGTGTCCTCTTTAAAGGAGCAAAAAAAAAAAGGCACTCAGAAGGGATGCTTTCCCATCTCACCCCTGAACAACCCAAATTTTCCTAGTAAATAAAGAATAGCTCTGTGGGGATCACTTTCCACATCCTTCTGCAGTGGCTGAATTGTCCTATCTGCACCAGCATTTCTGCACTGACCATCAGGTCCTAGGCATCACTTCTGGGGCAGGAGATGGGGATTCTGGTCCCAGCAGCTTGGAGGGCTGTTGTTCTTCACCAGGCAAGTTGAAGGCAGAGAGGAGAACTTCCCCACCTCTTCTTCTGGCTTATTACCCAGCCTGGAGTGAGCTGTTTCTCTGCTCCCTGCCTCAGTTTCTCCAGCTACAGGACAAGAATAACACTATCTGCAGAGTGCTCCCGCAGTCTCGGTCTGGCGTGTGAAGACTTGGGGGTTTGGGTTCACAGAGGATTTGTTTGATCTAGAAATAGCAGGGTTAGAAAATTCCATCTGCCTGCTCTCGAGAGCCCTCGACAGCGGAAGAATTTCGCTGCGTCTTGAGCCTCGAACTGTGCTGTTACCTCCCGGGGCAGCCCGAAGGCGAGGGCTGAGCAAACCAGCGCTGTTTTGGCTCCCGGCCTAAGAAGCAGCGTGAACAAAATCGCATTCCAGAAAGGCTCGATGTGGGGAACAGAGCAAGGCACGTTTCCCTTCTTGCTCCTGCATGGGGCCGTGCCCATGGCTGATGCCGGTGGCTGCTCCCACCCGGTGCCTGGCACCGGGCGACAGGCTCAAAGCCCAGATCGTGCCGTGGAAACCCTAGGGCATGATTTTGTGTCTCCACAGAAAAGTGGTGCAAAGCCAGGTTAGGACCAGGCTCATGTCTCATGGCATCGTTTTCCCTTCTGGATATTTACCGCCACTCAGCCATGCTCTGCCAGCAGGGAGGGGTGGGTTTGATGTCTGTACCCTTTCAACGTACGGACAACAGCTCCTTTCTCTTCCTCTGGGGAGGACCACAGGGGTGTAGCCTGTGCTGGGCCAGCTACTGCTGAGCCATAACACACCACTGCCATGTGGTACCCCGCGATAACTCGCTCGTGTCCATGCTTGGCTCCTACATCTGCCGCCAACACATCCAGTCTTTGCTTGTGGGTGCAGTGGTAGACGTCAGTTCATGGGTGGGATTGACTCGCAGATGCCTAGCTTACTGTCTGCCATCAGGTGTTTGCGGGGAAATAAGGTGGGTAAACTCCGTGACAAGCCTAAGGATGATCCGAAGAGGGATGCAGGGGAGCAGAAAGGATGATCCCATCCTCTGCTGCCCTGGGGTGAGAGCCCTGCTGTCCCCTACCACGGCGCTCTTTGGGTCTGAGTGCTTTCCCTATTGCTGTCAGCTCCAGGTATCTGTCTGGGTGGCTGCCAGTCAAGCAGAAAAGTCGCCTCCTGCCTTTAGTGATGCCTGGGGGTCACCCAAGGAGCTTGGGCTGAGCCCCCACTGCAAGTTAAGCTAAACACAAAGTGCTTATTACAAGCTCTTCCTCCCCAGCTGTCCAGGTCTTCTAATAAAGGCATGGTTTATTTTTAAAACAGTCTGCATTTGATTAAGCATTTGTTTTGTTTTGTTTTTTCAAAAGGAACTTAAAAGGGCCATCAGCCTGTAAACATAAATATTCCCATTCTTTTGCTGATTCTTTGCATTTTTCTGGGTTTGCTAACAAAAGATATTTCAGCAGTGCAAGGCTCTGTGCTGTGGGCAGCATCCTCTACTCTCGCTTTCAGCTCAGGCACTTGAGCCCATGAGGTGTAAGTAAGAGATTACCACAAGTTAAGCACCTCTTTGTGCCCAGGTGGCTTCCATGGTGCCTTGCGTTCACTTTTACAGTCACCCAAACCCTCCTTACAGCTCAGCAACGTCTTGAAATGGGCATAAAAGCAGGTAATGGTGAATCCGGTAGGTGCTGTGGTTTGTTGTGTTATTGATCTGTGTTTATCTAGTACCACCAGGTATCCCTGCCTCTGCTTACGGTCGTGCAGCATGTCCCCACACTGGCCATGGATCGTTCCCCGATGCTGCGTTCTCATGGTCAGCCCCGTGTCACGATCTCTCACAGGTCCTGGGGAGAGAGGCTGCAGCAGCGAAGGGTGTCTCTTTGACAGACGTGCCAATGTCACAGCCGTATCGCTGACTGTAGCCACAGATGTTAACTTACAGCTACGTTTTTTATTTCCCCCTCTTCCTGCAGGTTATAACTGAGTAGCCCTTATGACCAACATGAGCTGGAGCTTTCTAACCCGCCTGCTAGAAGAGATTCACAATCACTCCACCTTTGTGGGGAAGGTCTGGCTCACCGTGCTCATCGTCTTCCGCATTGTCTTGACAGCAGTGGGGGGGGAGTCCATCTACTCCGATGAGCAGAGCAAGTTCACCTGTAACACCAAGCAGCCCGGCTGCGACAACGTGTGTTACGATGCCTTCGCGCCGCTGTCACACGTCAGGTTCTGGGTCTTCCAGATCATCATGATATCCACCCCTTCGGTCATGTACCTGGGCTATGCCATCCACAGGATCGCCCGGTCGGCGGAGGAGGAGAAGAAGTTCAAGGGATTCAAGAAGAAGAAGCAGTTCGCTTTGAACTGGCAGGCAGTGCGCAACATGGAGGACCCGATGGAGGCTGACGAAGAGGAGCCCATGATCTCTGACGACACAGCAGAACACGAGAAAGCCAAAGCCAAGCCCAAGAGCAAAGAGCAACAAAAGCACGATGGGAGGAGGCGCATCCAGCAAGAAGGACTGATGAAAATCTATGTCTTCCAGCTACTTACCAGAGCCTCGTTTGAAGTTTGCTTTTTGATAGGGCAATATTTACTCTACGGTTTTGAGGTAGAAGCCTATTACGTCTGCAACAGAGTCCCTTGCCCTCACACGGTGGACTGCTTTGTGTCCCGGCCAACAGAGAAGACCATCTTTCTCCTGGTGATGTACGTCGTGAGCTGCCTGTGCTTATTGCTGAACATGTGTGAGATGTTTCACCTGGGGTTCGGGACCATCCGAGATGCAATTCGCAACCGCAAAATCAACAGCTTTAGGCAGCCTCCCTACAACTACGCCTACCCAAAGAACATCTCCTGCCCTCCTGAGTACAACCTGGTAGTAAAATCAGAGAAGTCCACCAAGATCCCCAACAGCCTGATGGCTCACGAGCAGAACTTGGCTAACGTCGCTCAGGAGCAGCAGTGCACCAGCCCCGATGAGAACCTCCCAGCAGACTTGTCCACCCTTCACAAACACTTACGAGTGGCCCAGGAGCAGTTAGACATAGCGTTTCAGAGCTACAGCAGCACCCAGGGCAACACGCAACCTTCTCGAACCAGCAGTCCCGCCTCAGGTGGCACGGTGGTAGAGCAGAACAGGGCCAACACCGCCCAGGAGAAACAAGGTGCTAAACCCAAGGCTTGCTTGGAGAAAGGGAGCTCAAGCAGTAAGGATGGAAAGACGTCTGTATGGATATAGCTTCATCTAAAGGAGAGAGGGCAGCGTGAGTGGGGGTTTTATTTTGATTTGTTTCTGGGTTTTTTTGGTATTGTCTTGCATTTTTTTTTCACAGGGCACGGGCGGAATTTTAATGTTTATAAGGAAGTTAGGAGAGAAAAGGAATTTCAGACCAATTCAGTGCTGTCTTCCTGGGCGTTAACAAAAGACATTCTTTCCTGTTTCCAACACATTCTCCAGTTGGGAACCTCCAGTGAGCAACAGCAAACCCCTTGTATCTCCCACCCCTTCGGTCCCCACCGGAGCACCCAACAGGGACTGTACAACGTGCTGCGATGGGAAGCGGAGCTGCTGGTGGCTCAGGAGGAAAGTCAGGCCGACAGATAGCAGCTCCCCTCCTGCATGGCAAGGTTAGAGTGCTGTAGGTCAGGCAGTGTTTAATTACTAAACATCCTTAATCAAAATTAATTTCCAATCCCTTGAAAAGAAAACGACTGATGTATTGCATGAACCTTCATGACACGCTCACAGCTGATGTCCTTCCTGAATTGTTCGATGTTCTAGCGGGCATCGCTGGAAACGAAGGCATTTTCGATGCTGCGAGCCATGAGCTGGCACCCACATCAGGTTATGGGGCAGAAACACAGCGACTGTCTTACACAGGGAGACCTTAAAAGCACAGCGGCGAAGGTTTTCGTCTTTCATTCCTCTGCGTCGAAGCAAAAAACAAATAGGATCACACACACTGCGCAGCAGGAGCGAGCAGGGACATTGTGTCATACTGGTGCCTGTGTAGTGCTTGCTACAGATGTGACGGGAATCGTTGCGGTTACAGTGTTTTTAACAAACTGCTGCTTCACATCACCAGAAAGTGCCTTTATGCAACCAGGAAAACAAAATCATAAAGGTTTTAGACTGCTTTATTTGCTGAATTTTCATCGAGATGGGAAGATCGGTGTTGGCAAATTTGTTTTTCTGTTTAATCAAGCCCTTATAAATAGTGGCAGACGGCAGATCTATGCATAGTGTGTCTATGATGTGTGTGTGTGTGTACATGTACGTATATATACAGACACATATGAACATGTGTGTGTGAATATAGACATAGAGAGATATATATAAATGTAATATCAACCCTCTGGTAATTTCACAGCCTTCTACCTTCCCTGGGAAAACTCATCTGGTCCAGGACTATGGTTGATCTCTTCCCAGAGCAGCCTTTGGGCTTCCAGCCTCCAGCCTCACCTAGGGAACTGGCAGGTTTCATACACTTGCTTGAGGGGCTTAGCAGAAGATCTGGCTTCAGTGGGGACAGGACCGGGACAGTAGCAGGAAGTTTTCCCCTAGTTTATGGGGAGCTTTTTTCAGCTTGGATTGGTTTTAGGGTGGTTTTCATGCAGCTACAGGAGTCTAGGGGCACATAAAAATCAAGCTGCTGAGCGCCAAGCCTCCTGATAATGCAGAGGACATGTGGTGTCAGGGTGGTTTCATGCCGTGCCTCTTGCACAGCTACGAGGCTGTGGCTTTGTTCCCCTCCAGTAACAGAAAATAGAAGGAAAACATTGTCACTGGGAGCACAGGGAGTATCTCCTGCCAAATGGTGGAGGCTGAAAGCAGTCGCTGCCCCACTGTGCTGTGCCTCAGAAGGGGTCTCATCCCTGAGATGTTCCTAAGATGCCTGTGGCTTGGCAGATGCTCTCACAACCTTCCAAGAGACCAGTAGTTGATTCACCACCGTGGAGAACCCAAACAGGTAGAGCCTTGACGATCAAACCTAACACAAAAAAAGGTAAATCCTCACCAAACACAGCGCCATCCCTGTGCCGGGTGCTCCCTCAGGGCCGTGCCAGCCACCCAAAGTCGCATGCAGGTCCCCATGCCAGTATTTCTCATCTACTGGATCTACATGACTTCTTGCTGGGCATCTTTCTCATGTCCTTGAGATCAGTCCCTGAAAGCCTTGAGGATGCCTGTTCCTCAGGTGTCCGGGCCCTTTGGCCACTCTGGGGAACAGGCAGAGAACTTGGGTATCGCCTTCAGCTGCTGGGAACCTTGACTGAGCTGTGCCATGCCATGAGAGAATGGTGCTGGCAGCAAAAAAGTAGGTCTAAAAAGAAAGCAAAGAGACATCCTACAAGGTCCCCAGCTGTAAATATTCACTGTGGCTTTGCATAACAGTCTGGGGAACATTTTCAGGCTTGTTCCTGGTCCCGCTGAAGGCACGGTGAAATGCCTGGAGTGCTGCCTGCTCTCGCTGCTAAAGTTCTTCCCCTTGAAAAAGGACAACTGCATCCAGGAGGAGGGTCAGTGCATCCCCCCCAGCAGCAACGGTCAGTAGTAACACGTATCTGTCGTGCAGAGGGATGGCCTTTCTGCCGTGAATTTTGAATGAAAGGCTCAGAAAGTTCACACCACAGTGGCGGGGAGACAAACATATCCAAATGTGCTGTTTGTCCTTGTCCCATGTTTGGGAATGTGTTCTCCTCCATGGCTGGGGACGTGCCAGGCAATGCAGAAGAAGCTGGTGGCTGACGATGCTGCTGCCATGAAGATAACTGCATGCAGGTCCACAGCCCAGGGCTGCTGGGGAGGAGAGCAGAGGTGCTGCTAGGTGGAAATTTGCTCCCTAGTAATTACAGCTGTCCAGGGCACAAGCTTGTCCTCTGCTTTGATGTGACTTCTCCCTGTTCATCGCCAGCCCTGTGTCCTGTGGGAAAGAGCATGTATTTGAAGTCAGGATCCCAAGGGAAGGATGGAAACTCGGAGGAGCACGATGGTTGGATGCTGCGTGGGTTTTTTGTGATTCCTTTTTGATGAGTAGCAATATCACAGCCCGGGATAAAATCATCCTTCCCACGCAATGCCGGAAGGCGCTGTGCTGTGCAGGAGTCTGGATTTTGGGTTTCTCCTGCCCATACCAGCGACACCTCCCTCAGCCCCAGACATGGCTTGAGCATTTTCCAGTGACTCAGATCAGCCCCTCAGCTCCTGCTGACCTGCAGATTCAGCAGTGAGTCACCAAACGCAGGGATGGGCATGTGCCTCCTTTGTGCTCGCTTCAGGAAACCATCCTGGCCTCACCACGGGGAAAGGGGCAGGGGCAGATTTGAAGCCAGAAACCCTCAAAACCTGATCATAGAGACCTGACAGAATCATTAAACCCATTTTATACAGCAGGGCTATACCCCCTTCCACAGCAATATAGGTGGTCAGTGCCTGATGGGAGGAGAGCCCTGAGCTCCATGGCTGGAGGTTCAGAGATACTTAGAGCAACAGGGCTGGAAAGGACAGTGGATATTCTCCCCAACTTGCCACCATCAGGTGCTTCCTTAATGGCTAACACAAGTCCCTCCTCGCTGCAATCCCTGGCACCTCCTCTCCTCAGCAGCCATGGAGAACATCTCATGCCTTTAAAGGCTGCAGAAGCGTTTGGGTGTTTGAAGACTTTTTTCATCCTCCTCCAGTCTGCTTTAAGCTAAACAAGTGTAGTCTTATCAACCTTTGTCCAAGGGCTGCTTTTCTAGCATGGTTTTCCTTGGTGTCTTTGAACCACCACCAGCCAGTCCTCATCTTCACAGCAGTGTGGCAGTGCTGGTCCTCGGGACACCCTCCCACTCTGCTCCTCTTCATGCACCCATCTGCCACCCTGATGCTCCCCAAAACCCCAGGCATGGGGATTACTCCCCTCTTCAGATATGTGCTTGTACAGTCAGGATCTTCCTGTCCTCTTTCAAGCTGCCTTTTTATTTTCACACCGCAGACCCAGTGCACCAAGAGGGGGGGGGGTTGAATCATCTGTCGGTCCTGCAGCAGCTTTGCAGCCTCCTCCCAGCTGGTGTCACCATCATATTTAATACGCACACACTGTTTTCCATAGTGAGAGTCAATAATTGCAATATTGACGAGTACTAGAGCCAGGGCAGACTCTTGGGCGATCAATACAACCTCCTCATCAGGCAGGGAGCCAGGGTAACTGCTCTCTCAGCCGTCCTTCCAGCCAGCCCTGCTCGTCTATCAGGCTTGAAACGCTTCCTTGCACAAAACGCTTTGCGAACAGGAGCTGATCTCGCTTTCCTATGTTTTCCAAGCATTTTGACAGGGACGGAAGCACAAGGGCACATTCCCAGCAGGACTGCTCTGGTGTTGTGGGCTGCCTGGGAGAGATGCAAAGTTGCCTGCAAGGTCCCAGCCAGCCTGGAGGACACCACTGACTTCTCTGAGCCTGGGGAGGAGGGACCGCAGTACTCCCAGATCCCATCTGAGCCACACAAAGAAGCCAACATGAGTCAGACAGTCCTAGAAATATAAAGGATTATTATTATTATTATTATTATTATTACATATACTGAATTACTCACTTCCCCTGTTCTTCCCACACTCCGCAGCCCCTAAAGCCTTTAGGATATTGTGTCTTTCCACGGAGTCACTGCCACAAAGGTGACCGACACGCATTAACGTCCCTGCAGGAGCCACTCCTTTCGGGGCAGGAGTAAAAGTCCCTTCTTTTATCATGTCAGTTCAGGAAGGAAAAGGATAGAGAGGCAAAATAAGCATAACCACAAGCAAAAAACCCATCACAACCATTACAAACTAAACCAGCATCTCGAGGAATTTCAATTAGACAATGGGCAGCGTCGGCCATGGAAGAAATGCCAGGATTATAATTAATGCTTTGCTTTTTTTTTTTTTTTACAGGTTAGTAGTTTTTGTTCACACACAAGACGGGTTTAGCTTTGTAGCTGAACTAATCGTAAATGTTGACTCTCTTGCTAAACTTGGTCGGATAAAGTGCCCACACTTATATTTCTATTCTTACCATTCAGGGCCTGGAATGCCCCACGTAAAAGCCAGATTACCTTGTTGCTTGCATTGCATTCCACTGGGAAATACTTGAACTTAACTCAAGGCCATAACCAGTCTGTGCTGTTTTGAAGTTTCTGGGATTGTTATTTTTTGTTGTTGTTGTTGTTCATTTTTTTATGTACTAACTGTATTTGTACTAGAGATTTTTTGAGTCTGAG